TGCAGTTCTCCACAGTTGTCATGATGTCACTTTTACCCCTTCTCAATCTTTATAATACTACATAGTTCCCTAAAACAGCTATGTCAAATGTCATAGTGACCGTGTGTGTTACTTAAATTTTTAAGAATATGTGAGAGCTTTTCTTAATGTATTTTTTGATTCTTCTATTGTGCAGTTCTTCTGGAACATAAATCCTTTCTTTGGTTATTAACACATTAACTGCCATGTGAGTTGTGTTTAACTCATGCTAGTTTTGAGCCTGGGGTCTCATGAAGCATATGTAACTCACACGTCTCTGTACCTTGGGAGCCACCTGAACTATTTTTCAACTTGCACATAACTCACGCACGGAAAACAATAAAAAATAACAAATTCATCATTAAATTAGAAAGGATCATTTTGTTTTTGAAGTTGTTATTCTATTTTCATACTAAAACACTGCCAGGGAAATTTTTTTTTCTATTGTGACAATCAGTATGTTAAGGAAGAAATCATTATAATTCCATGCCTGTAATTAAATTTACCTGTTGGATTTATCTCAGGTTACTAAAAATGTTTATTTATTTATTTATGATTCACAGATCATGATTTTCAGTATCTGTTATTACGTATGATTATGATGCATAAATTGTTAATGTTGTAAAATGCCTATGCTGCACGGATATATACAGAAGCAGGTATTCAGAAGACTATTTTGTTACTCTTCCAATGATGTTTTATTAAATTTGTTCTGATTCCCCTATTGCCATTTCAGTTTTGTACTTCTGAATTTCCATGTATTTATCTTATTAGGTAACTTTTTGGAGGATTATTTACTATTGCTTCATATAATGCTATACTGTAGCATTTATTTGCATGTAATAATTATGCAGTAAGCATGTATTTGTGTAATAAGTTTTTCTTTAAATATGGGACACCTGTTTACCTACTGCCAATTGGTGCATTTTGATGTGGTGAGCTTTCAGGATTTGTATGAGTAGTTCAGTTATATGGTGTTTGAAAGTAGACTTTCCTAAGATAATTTGAAATAACGCATAATCATCCTTAATTAAAGAACTCTATTCGTTTTGTATTCCTGAACATTTGTAGACTTTAAGAACCTTTATATCTTTTACATATAACTATTATTTTTAGTGT